TACAATCCAACAGTATAAAAAAAAAAACAGGTTTGGCATTGAACCTCACACCTGAAGAAGGCTCCACGGCCGAAACATTGTGTTTTCTTTCTTCTTTTCAGCATGGAATAAACCTATTACTTGTTCCTTTGCAGCCTACGCATGCTGATGCAGCTACCCACCTGAACAACATTAACTATATGTATGACTTTCCATTTGAAGATAAGGTTAAATAATAACAATAACACAATAATAATAATAATAACACAAAAAGCATTAGTTCAATAATGTGTTTGCTGAAATAAAGTATGATTCGATGAAGATTATGACAGAAAACACTTTTTCCAAGGCATTTAGTTTACATCTGTAGCCCTCAACATTTTCTCTGTTCTTTTAGACAAGCACTCATACAAGCACTCATAGTCGCCATGCAAAGATTTTTTCTAATGAATACAGACATCAAATGTCACTGCAAATTTAGAAATCACACAATTTAAAAGTGTCATTACATACAGAAACAACTGGGAATCTCCTGTAAGTGTTGGTTGTTAATCAATCATAATTATAGTTTTCAGTTGGTTTGAACCATAGTAAAGCATCTCCAGTTAGTGTTCCAGGCCTGTTATTTCCCCATACACTCAAGCACTGCTGACAATGAAACCAGCACCCTTACATAGATTAAAGATTGGGCTGGTTCAATATTATCAATATTATTTGCAAGTGATGTGGAAGCCGCTGACTGTGTGTATTTGATTTTAGAGAAGGGTAAGTCTCGAACTCTACTATCAATATTCTACTATCAGGATTACACACATCAGGAAAGTAGGCTAACACAGGAAATGACCAGGCTGCATTTGTTCACAGGGATTCAGAAACTCCTATTCCAGAAAGATACCAAAGCCAAAATTATTCTTAGACTAGGCTCACACCAACTCTAAAGGATCAGCTAATTTCTTTCTATATCTCTCAAATGACAGGTTTCTGCCTTCCAGACTTCCTGTGGAATTTGTGTCCCAGGCTTATGTCTCTTTATGCCTGCTTTCTCACCTCCTCCTATTTCAATTTCTTGGATGTATTATCACTTTCTGTGTCTTTTGTTCTCCTGACCCACACCTCTGCCTCATATTATTTCTCTCTCCCTCATTCTCCAATATACCTGAAAAGGACTCCACTGCTGAAACCCAAGTTTCTTTTCCTTTTTTTTTTTAAGAATAAACATCTGCATGTTCTTCTGAAGCTTGCAAGCTGATGCAGATCCCAACACTAATTCAGGAAATGACTTAAACAAATAATAAGGTCTTGGGAGTTTATGCATCCTTGAATTACTTTACCTTAAAGTGAACGTCTTTGGTGTGGTTTCTAAAGAAAACTACATTCTTGTTCATTCTGCAATACCAAAGCCTTGACAAAAACCTATACAAGTATTTAGCACCAAAACGAGATATTATCAAGGCAACGGCAATCAAAACACTTTCTCTAATTAATTATCTGGTGTTTTAGCTGGAATTTGCCAAATCAAACTCCAAAACTAGATTGATAGACCTTAATTTTACCTCTGATTCTTTATGGCAGTTCCAGAACCTTTCTGTTTTTGACAATTAGCACAAATAACATTACTGTTTATGTTGAGATTTATGTTGTTGAACGCAAATGTTGAGATCTTTACACATGTTTGTCAAGTATGACCAACAGGACACATCTGGCTTTTAAGTATTCACCTATTGATCAAAACAGATAGGGCCTCCTTTGTCTGGTTATGGTATGAAATGTGATCAGAAAGAAACACCTTTTGTTTCAAAACATTACCGTGACCCTATTTCTAAACCACTAACTAAAAATATCCAAATAAGAGCACTATAATTTCACAGTTTCTATACTATAGAGATCAGATAAAGTGCAGCTATACAGTAAGCTTAAGGACAGCAAACCACACAGTGAGGGACAAAAATGAAAAGCATCACATACACAGTAAGATGTGAAAAGATTTGGAAAAGGATGGATAAGAATAGATGGCACTGGTACAAAAGTATAAAGAAAGCAGAAATTAATCAGGTGACATGTTACTGACGCATGAGAGAAACAAGACATAATCATCCTTAATCTGCCCCTGTGCATCATCAAATTGATGAAAATTGCAAGAGTGTTATAGACACTAAGGTATCAGTGAATAATACTTTGAAAGCTACATTGACCAACTACTTTCCATAAACATCACTGATAAAGCTGCTGATAAACTGCAATTTTAAATTAGAAGAGCAACAGTTTTTTTTTTCTAAATAAAAATACAAAAAAGCAAATTAACTCTTAACTCAAAAGATCCAATATGGAAACACAGTACTAACAGGATGGCCAAGTCATTTTATGGGTCATCCTTTAAATCATGAAAACTTGGAAAACGCGAGTTTTGATCAATTTATTAGGTTAACCAGTTCAGCAGACATCATGAACAGCCAGCTATGGTCTTTGAAAGTTATAGGGTGCTAGGATTTTCATTTAAAATATCTCTAAACCACTTCACTGAACAAACTGTCTGCTTCAACTGTGAAAATTATATTTTCCAAGTACTTAGAAATTTGTGCATAAAACCTGTTAGATTGTGGCTCTTCGGGAACAGGGTTGATCATAGCTCCTCTAGTACTTAAGATAAAAACATAACTTGTTTGGTATCAAAAGAATGAGGAAACGCTATGCATTTCATGAATACAAATACAAATCTCAAAACTCTCACAAGAACACAGCAATATACTGTATTTTACCAGATTCAATGAATTTTCTATTAAGAAGCAACTAGGCCTACACATTGACCAAATGCCTGAGGGTTGGAACCTGACGTCCCAACATCTTGTAGCACTATAATGATCTTAGAACCTAAGCAAGGCAAGCAGGTTACTGCTGGAACTGGTACTGGTGGACCAGTAGAAGGCACTATTGCCTCTAGTGCAGAGGCTGTAGAACATTTCTCCTTTATGATGAAAGGAAAAACTATGTTACAGGAGCACCCCAAGTCTTTGTTTCTTGAAACAGCTAAATGGCTTTTGTCTATTTTCAAAGCACTATAAGCAGAAAAGGCAGTACACATTTCTAGGGAAATATGAAAAGTTTGCAACTAATAATTTGTTTTTCAACCCTTACCACATTAAAATATCAAATATGAATCTTAACTACCAGTTTTGCACGAGGTATAATTGTTTCTAATGAGTAATGAGACAACTCATTACTGAGTGTTAAGTTTATCATTAACAAAAACACAATAAATGATAACGTGCACTGCTAGAAAAAAAGAGAATAAGACAGGTGACAAAACTCAGAACTGATAAATGAGGTTATAAGGAATCCAATTATTCAACATATAATCTACAACTAGAATTGGAAATTGTTTATTGAAAAAATACCAGAAGTAACTCCTAAATGATCTTGTAAATCAGAAGGAATAAGAACAAAGTGCAAATCATTATTAAATTAACCATCCCCACCCTAATCAGAAAGAAAAAGAAAAATACACTATTATTGTGCTAAAACATTAGGTCCTTAGAAGTAAAAATTGTACAATGTATTGAACAGGCTAATGAAATTAATCTCAATGGCAGTATCTGTAAATTATCCATAACCATGTTTAGCAAATATCAATGGTCACATTAACTTCCTGTAACTGGACCTGCATTGAGCATCCCGAGACTAAGCAACAACCTGCCCCAGTTTAATAAATCCAGTACTAAGAAAACTAGTACTTAATGAATATGCTTAACATTAAGATAATATAGGGGAGAAACAAATGTTGAGCAGAGTTTGATCTGGGAAGAAGCATACATATTATATGGACTATTGCTTACATAGGAATAAAGTAACATTTATGTAATTCTTGAATAACATATACAGAAACCTACACTTCATCAGTGTAATTAAGAGTTTACTAATGAGTTTATCTTCTCATACCAATAACACAAAAATAAGAGTTGTTGGGTGCCTATATACCTTATAAATCAGTCCTTTAAAACTTACTGCAGCCTCACAGAACATAACCACTGTCATCATGAATCATAAGTGCAAAGCTGAAAACCTTAAATCTTAACTACATCTACGCCTCTACAGCTCTTCCAGGATTGCAAAGAAGTACAAAACTGAAACCTTAAGTAAACTACTATATGTCCATGTCCCACAAGTCGTGTTTACCTTTTCTTAACCTATCTTGCTTTGGTGGGAGTTGCTGGAATTTGTCACAGACGCAACATAATGGCACAGAAATTACAGCTGATGGTAATTCTCACTTGTACACTAGCTTTAATACTTTTGTTTGTAAAAGCTGCAGTACTGGAGCTCATTCTCTTACATACGTCCTATATGATGCTTTCAATAGCATAATCATAATGAATTAACCATACAAAACCTCTATTCATACAGGAAACATCCATTATTTTAACTCGTAACATAAAAATTCTTAATACATGTATAACACAAATCACCGCTTTGACAGAAAGGCACTGAGCTCTTTATTAATGCAAGTATTAACTGCACTTCCTACTCGTGCCTATTGTTTCTAATTGAATTTAAGGATTTGTAAGACGATACTTTCACCAGCAACATATATAGAGAGAGATCTTTCATTCACTGTCCCAGTAATAATAGAATCATCTTAATTCCCATTCAAGACAAGCCTCTTACAGATCACTACTTGTTTCGGAGAAACATGACTTCGTTAAGTGCAAAAGGCCCTCGGGCATAAGCGCCCTTCTCTTTTTCTGGCAGGTACCGTTATTTAAAATGATCTGCAACCCTGTTAATCAGAACAAAATTCCCCTTACATGTAATTAAACTATTTAAGAGTAATTTAATTGTTAAGGTTTACATTTCACATGTCCTTATACTGCATCAATTAACAACACTGCAGTGCAATATCGTGATCTCGGCTTTCATTCGTGCCTTTTGGTAAGCCACGTTAATTGAGTGATGCAGTGCCCAGCTGGAAATAATACTGGCTAAAGCCATCGTTACACGCTTCATCATGCCGGTATTCAGTAACTTACCTTGGCTTTCTGCAGTGGGGTGAACCGTAAGTCATGCACAAAGGGGTTCCTAAATGGGGGAGCCAGCTCCTTCTTCCCATCTCCACCTACTGTTGAGCACCGTCTGCTGTTTCTCGACAGCCTCATCCTCAGACCTGAGGAAGGAGTTTAATACAACAGCTGCGGCGTTTTACTCGTGTCGCCGCTGCGCAGCTCGCCTATTTTCTCTATTTTCTGCAGATACGCTTTTCTTTATCTCCGTAGCCGGTGGTGGATGCTAGGGGCTGGAGAGATAAAACGCTGATCATCTAAATCGAAGGCGGTAATTACACAACAACGGGTCAAACTAGACGGCTCTGCCTCTCTCTTTTGCTGGTTTCAAAACGAATCCCCCAGCCTGGCTTAGTGTGACTGCAGAACGCATGCGTCCTGTGGTGACGGCGCTGACATCACTCTCCTCTGGAGGTGAGCAACAGCCTGATGCTTTTTACTCACCACAGACAGTATGAAGCGGCTAGCGAGCTATGCTAAGGCATGATAAGAAAGAAGAGGTCCGCGACTTGTACAGCAGAACAGAACTGAAAATTAAAACGCAAGAAGAGGAAATACGTTGTCGTTAAATAAAGTATTCAGTCAGGGAACTGAATGCATTTTCAAAGGCAAGGTATGCTGTAGTTACTGTAGCTGAAGTTTTTTAAATTGGAACAAATACGCTTAAATGTGGTGCCGTACTCCAGGGGGTTTGAAGCGTTTACTCCTCTCCACCCTTTCCGATTTGAAATTGAAGGCTATATCCACCCGGATATCAGATAAAAGCCACTTATTTCTGTAGACAATCCCAGAAGCATGGGGCGCAAGGAGAGACTCAACTTTTGACTGGACGCACAAAAGACCCAGAGACGCCATCTTCACTATTTAGCGTACGAACATGCAAAAATCCAAACAAAAGGCACCCACCCGAGACCATGACCCAGAGCTGAGAGTCAGCGGCACTAACTGCCCCACCGCTGCGCCACCTCTTGGAAGGTTACAATGAAAAGTTACCCCTGCACATTGCGTTTTTATACCTATGTACCTACAGTATGGTTTAGGCTGTTTATAACTGATAGTAAACTTTTAAATCACAGCAGAATGTTTTACTATAATATAAACGTTTAGTTACCAAGTACTGTAATTAAATGCTATGGTTTGTACATATTTGTATTTTAAAAACTAGTTTTGTATTTCATTACATCTATTTTCTAAGACTTTCAAACATTATACACAATTGTAATATATTTTTAAAACGGTTAAAAACGCTACAGCAACAGTGTACAATATAAACTTATTTGAGTAAATCTGATTTAGTGACCCCCTAGCAGAGACCTTTTTTAAGTCTGTAAATATAAAAGGACATTTTCAGTGGTTCCTCACTAAATAAAAGCCCTCTACAGTAGGATAATGTTTTTGATACGGTTTTCTGTTTTTTATATTAAGTTTTGGATATACAGTAAAATATAAACAAAAGCAAACACATACAGCAATCTAACGCGGTTTGTAGTGGAAGTAAACATTTAAGCATACCTTTCCATGTAAATATATTACAAGTGAACAATGCAATAAAATGCAGCCTAATATTCACAGCTTCAGAACTGCCTTTGTATGTCTGGTTGCCTTTTTTTAAGTGCTGTGCATCTGGAATTTGTATACAAGGTTACTAAGGTGCTACTGTTTCACTGAATTTTAACAGCTTTGTTTCCTTACCTGTTTACTTATGGTTAATACTACAGATGTTATATGTTTTATACAGTTGTTACATTTATAGTAAGTTCCACAGTAACCAACAGTGAATTTGAGAAATTTCCATTTTTACCCTATGACATGCTAATTCTGAATCTAAATTAAATTTTGATGCTAAAGGTTACAGAGAAACAGGTTACTAAAAATGGAATATGTTGTTGAAGAAGTTCAATTGCCATCTAATGTAGCTGGTCCTTGGTTACTTGTTATACTGAAATTTCAACTATTCACACTATTCACACAATTGCATCTTATAAATGTTCATTTGGATTTAGATATGAGCTAAGGGCCAGGCCAGTGTTTTAATGCTGTTCTGTGCCAAGGGTTCTTGCCTGTAATTTGCAATATGTACTTGAGCATTGTCATTCTTAAAAACAGGACAACATTGACATGTCAATAATTAAATGTGCCAATATCAGGGCAAAGGCAAAGCAACTTCATTTAATCAAGATGGTGCCATGTTGTATACACAGTCTATTATTGTATAAGAGACACCAGCCTCTGCTGTCTTCCTACTGTTTTTTAAGGGAAGGTAAAGGCAGGCAAAAACAATCATGAGAACAGATAGTAGTTCACTCTGGCTGTGGCATTACATGTGTTTTGGAATACTGCTAAAAGGTTATGGTTAATGGGTGTTTATTTGTAGTTTAGAATCAGATTAGTGGCTTATTTTGTCTATACAAAACTACTGCAAAATTCAACCTGTTCTTCGTTTTATGCATCTGAGAGTCAGTATTTTTCTTTTACAAATATAAAGCTAGTTTAAAATATCCATCCTTTACCATTCAGCAACACATTAAACAAGATAATATTTTTGATTATTTTTATGAAGAAAAGATTTCAGTGCTTGCTGGAATGTCTTACAATAAGAAGTTGGATCCTTATCAATATGCAAGTTACCCATTTCCTTTTACATTTGATCCACCCTATAATTTGTGTACTAAGCATGCTGTGCACTTTCAAGTCCAAAACGTTTAGTTTGAGATCTGGAAAAATAACTCCTTCAATTGTTGATGAACCTAGCAGCTTTTTAAAATACAAAATCTAAATACTATAGCACTTGAACGTGCTGCCAGTTTGATTTCTGAATAAGTAGACAAAGGATATCAGAGTAATGCTTTTAATTAAACTGAATTCCAATGAATGTCCAATCCCCTGTCTTCATCCTGGAAAATAGGCACCAAGTACAGGAGAAGGGACTCAGTAGTAACTGCATTAACTCCCACTAGTGATTCCTGGGAGTATCAGACACAGACAGGAACACCCATGAAAAAAATGAGCATACCCTTAATAACAAAGGCATTTTTCATTAATCAGATTTTCTGTCTTTTTATGTAGTTATCCCACAGTATGAGTCAACTCCCTGGCAGTGCTAAGTACCCCTCTTTGTCAAACAGGCAAAAACAAGTTCACCTTCACTTCAGTGCCATCATACCATTGTATTGTCAGTCCTCCTCTCCTGGGGCTCATCAGATTAAACCATCCTGCTGTAAAGCTCTTGATCTCTCAATCCTTGGGAGACAATGCAGTTTCTCACAAACTCTATCCCTGTGCTTCTACCCATGGCTGTAGCTGTCCCACTGGGGGCTCATTAAGGTTCTACCACAACAGGACACCGCAGACCTGTTCCCTGGCTTTTCCCTGAACCCCAGGTACTTATTGTATTATGTTTATTTTGTTTATTATTGTATTATGTTGTATTATAGCTCTGTTTCCAGGCACTCTACCTCCCTAGTTGTAGTTTTCTCTAAGGTAACTCAGCTAGAATCTCCTCACTCTGAGACTGGACCTTTAGGGGACATTCTGGGTTTACCTACTTGGTGTGATAAACTTTGGCTGTGCAGGGACTGATTCCAGGTGCATATCTCTACAAAATATCCTTCTTTAATTCAATAAAGGGGACATCTTGTGCAAATGCTCATCTAACAGCCATGTATAGCACGCACCCAGGCCTGAATCCTGGCCTCAATTGTTACTGATATAAATCCTAGTCCAGCAGATTTGGAGACACTGGGGTATTTGTACATCTACACGTGGTTTTCTGAACCAAAGTGCAGTACCTTCAGATACTCAAGCAGGAATAAGACCAATGCACAGGTCTCACAGTCTTCAGTCTTTCACCATTTTTAATCTCAACTCAGTTTCAGGTGATCACAAGGCCCTTAATTCAGAATAGTTGCCAATCTTCTTCCAAACCTGAAACTCTGGTTTCTTCATGCTGACCAAGCCTGAACAAGATTTCGTCCAAGAACAAGTAGACATAACAGTCCTGGCCTGGTTTCTTCATCGACAGTCTTTCAGTCTGTTTTGTGGGGGCTGCAACATTTCTTCCCATCTTAGCTGTAAGGGATTTTGCTGTCAGTGCCATTCTATGTTTCAGAGCTGGACAGTATTTTGTTTTTGATGATAATAACTCAATTCTAAAAAGTAGTAACACTATACAGAAAACTTTTATTTACTGTGTATAAAACATAATTAACCTTTTTCAAGCTAATGTGTTACAAATTTCCTGCCTGTGTCTTAGCTTTCTTCAGGATAGCCTACAGAGTTCTGAATTTATGCAGCTCAGGCAGAGAGGAGCTTTGAAACTAAACTAGTATTCCGTGAAGTTGGCTTTCTTTACTTTCTACTGCTGGCATTATGTGATCTGCCAGGTTCAACGTTGTGTTCAGGAAATACAAATAAGGATCTGTTCTTTTTTGGGGGGGCTGTTTGCTCATTACCACCATCACAGAGTATGGAATTTTCTTGTTTTGTTTAATGAAATACAGATATCAGTGTTCTCTACATGAAAATGACAACAAGCACTATTATTATTAATTAATCTGGAGACATATAACAATTTATCAAGCTGATTTACAAGGACTATAGTTCTTAAAATGTGTTATATTTGCAAAGAAAAAAGGGGAATCACAGAATCAGTTATATACAGTAGCTAAATGCAATTAAAATGAACATTTAAATGTTTACATTTCACACATTTTAAAGAAAATACACAGCAGCATTGTAATGTACAATAAATGAGAAGCAGAAGAAAATAAAATGAATGTTCATTTAAATAATGTTACACCAATACAGAAAAGTATGGGTCAGAAGGAATGTTGTAGAGTGCCACATTATAGAATCTAGAAAAGTAGTCTGAATTGCTTAGTTCTGAGGAAACTGAAGATGCTGATTAGAAGATGAAGCCCTGATGTTCTATGCTAATTGTCTGCACTACAAGTGGGAATGGAATCCATAACGTAAAATTGAGCTGCTGTCGTTCTATTATTTAGTTGTTTCTACCCATGATTTACTAATTTCAAGATTCCTGTGAACAAATAGAGATATACTATTTGGCAAATTTACTATTACATTTATTGCATTTTAAAAAGCAACTTTACATTCATTGTTCGAAACAGAGGTGTACATTTGGCATTGCTAGTAAAAACATTATTAAATTAACTATATATTAATATAAATTGCTGGCTGATAAAAATGAGCCACTGATAATAGATGCCAAATGACTGTGATGTCAGATCCTGGTCCTGAAGGGCAGGTGTGCCTACATGTTTTCATTACAACTCAACTTGTAATAAGCTAAACCACCTGATTAGTGGCTTAACTTGACTAATCAAT